GGGCAACATTTGTAGTAACTGTTAAATGAGAAACTATTTTGTTCTGTAAGCCTTCATCTTAAGTGAGAATAGCAGCACAATTGGAAGAGCATAGTCAGTGTCACTGAACTGTGCATGTAGAAATTTTTGAAATGGTGTATCTTTGGCTATGTGTATTTCCTCCCCCCCAAAAAAAGGTTGAGAAGTTAGAGGGTTGACATGTTGTTGGGTTGTTAACCAATGTCATAAAACAATATGTGTACTACTGTTCCATGAGAAACTATTTGTTCTGTAAGCCTTCACCTGAAGTACGATTAAAAAAAAAAAAAGAAACAATACAAACAAAACAAAACAAAACTTGTTGCCGTCGAGTCAACTCCGACTTATAGTGACCCTATAGGAGCGAGCAGGACCGCTCCATAGAGTTTCCAAGGAGTGCCTGGTGGATTCGAACTGCCAACCTTTTGGTTAGTAGCCATAGCACTTAACTACTACGACACCAGGGTTTCTCTAAGTTATACAGTAGGGAAAAATTCCCAAAGTTTACAAAAAAGTGCTAAAAAGTCATAGAGATACAAATTAAAAGTGGGAAAATATGAACAGCCTTTTTAGTAGTGGAGTGTGTATAGGATTTGAACAATAAAATCAAAGTAAGATATTGTTTTATACACTGATTATAAGAGCAAAAATTACTTCATTAGATTAAGAAATGGAACAAATAAAATATATATGCATTATTTTTGTGGAAGGGAAAATCTATAAAAAGTATCAGCTCTTTTAGCAAATTTGAAGTTGGCTATGGTCTGCAACTCATTGATTTCTCCTCACTAGAGAGTTATTGTGCAAGAGCACTTGGAGATTGGAAAGAGAATGAAGAGAATAAGAGCAGCACTATTTACAAGAGCAAAAGTTACATTTGAACCACTCAAATCCTGTAACCTTTACAATAGGTAAGTAAATTCTGGCCAATTTGTACAACGGGAGCATGCGTACATAGCAACACAGGCAGACTAGAGCTACAGATACCAACATGTATGAAACTCAAAAGCATTCTGAGGAAAACAGTTCACGGCAGAACCCAGACACAGTTATAATGAAATTTACAGAGCTCAAAAGAGGCAAAACTAAACATTACAAGGTATAGAGATTATGGACTAAGACTTGGGTGTCACATTTAAAGATACTTCTTAGACATAATCAAACATCCCGGGGAATTGGTTTCATGGGTTTGAAGGATTAGGACTATAGTGTTGTGGGACATCTCAGTCAACTGGCGTAACATCGTTAAAGTTTATGTTCTACATCCTACTTTGGTGAGTGGTGTCTGAGCTCTTAAAAGCTTGTGAGCACCATTTAAGATAACAACTGTTGGTCTCTACTTGCCTGGAGGAAAAGACAAAGAAGGAAACCAAAGACTCAAAGCAGAAACTAATCTACAGGTACCATGGCCTCATCTACTCTGAGACCAGAAGAACTAGATGAGATGGTACCTGGCTACCACCAACAACCATTCTAATCAGGGCCACAATAGATGGACCCTCAAAGAATGGGAGAAAATTGTGGAGTAGAATCTCAAATTTCTAAAAAAAGAGAGAGAGAGAGATTTACTGGACTGGTTGAGACTAGAGGACTCGCCGAGACTGTTGCCCTGAGATACTCTTTAAATCTTGAACCAAAACTAGCCCCTGAGGTCACCTTTTAGCTAAATAACAGACTGGCTCACAAAATAAAGACTATTACCTGAGTACAGTGCGCCATTAAAAAAAATCATCTATATGAGATCAAAAGGTCAACAATTATTTTAAAACAAAGATAAGAATGTAAGAGGGCAGGGACTCTAGGTTAATGGAAAGGGAACAATGAGAACAGAAATATAGAGAATGTTTACGAATGTAAAGAATGTAACCAATGTTACTGAAAAATCTGTGTGAAAATTGTTGAATGGGAACTTAATCTGATGTGTAAACTTTCACTGAAAAAATAAATGTTAAAAAAAACTGGAATGTCAAAGCTGTATTACTAGCAATAATTGTAATAATAATAAACTTCTCAAATACAGATAGCAATAATCTCTAGGCAGAGGTAAATGAGATCAGGGTGGGACACACTGGGAGGTCATAAAAACTGAAAAAGTCTATTATCAGGGATGTAGACTCCTGTTAATTAAACTATACACGAACAGTTCATGTATTCCTTATTTATGATACAGTAAATAATGGCTTAAAACACGAAAGAAATGTAATTTTCATATAATAACTTTCCAAAGTCACGTGAAAACCCCTTTATTTTGATTTAATTTGTCTTAGTTCAGAAAGGCTTACATGTCTAAATTTTTGATACTGGGATCTTAAAAATTAGTTAAAACAGGCACTCCTCTGTGTTTGAGAAGTTTATACTCATTAAATGGAAAAATTCTCAGTAGAAACAGAAACTGATCTAGAAATTTTCTTGCAATGGAAACTTTAAACCCAAGAAGTTAAGTACATCATCTCCGCTGTTGACTTTGTCTAGCAAAAAAAAAAAAAAAAAAGACACTTTTATTTTAGATTCCCGTTCAAGACTGTGGAGAACAGGTGAAAATTACAGGACTTAATACCAGCTCTAGGCAGACTTAGACTGGGGAAACATGCTTCCCACACACTTGAAAACCTCAAGGAAAAAGCATCCCTCCAAAAAGGATGGATCCGGAGACCCCACACACAATCCAGCTGGACTCACTGTCCCTGCCTCATTTTACTGGTGAATTTATGAGAGGACCAAACCCCACCCAAGACCCCATTAACAGTCAGGGCCTTTCGCTACCAACTCTCTTCCCCATTTTCTACCACATCACACAGTGTGAGAGGTGGAGCTATAGTATCAGAACTGCACAGAAGAGGATCCAGTGCCTGGGGGAAGCCAAGAAAACTTTGCAGGGATGGGACAAGGATGGCTCTGGAAGACATGGGGCTCAGTCTCCTCAGCCAGAGCTATTCCATCTTCAGACTCTGGTCAGATGGCTCTGTCATTCAACACACAGAACCAAGGCCAAGGCCAAGGATGTTAAAGCCCCATGATACCTGCCCTGAAAGTCACAGAAGGAAGTAGACCCCAGGCATCCAAGGCTTGAAAATCCACGTGCGAAGAGCTCAATGACAGTGTAGCATGGCCTCAGGATGCTTCTTAGGGCTCAGTCCTTTGGCCTCCTCTGTCACCTTTTTACCTCACTGAGGAACCTCAGGGCCCAGAGCACACGGTCCCCCAACAATTCATATCTAGCCTCACCCCCTGTAGTATCAATACCCCAGTTCTCTGTAGTACGCACCATATCCTGACTCCAGCTTCTGGAGGTCTAAGCGAATGTGCTCTCTAAGCCCAAGAAGCCACTTCGGGAAGAGGGATGGCAGTGGAAGCAGAGCCACTAGGCAGTTTGGAGGCAGATGAATGATGTTTGGTCCACACAGCCAGTCAGAGCAGTTAAAATCCTTACTTGTGATTGCAGGGATGTGCAAGATGGTCACCCTCAGTCTGCTGCTGCCTAGGCTGGACTATCTCTCCTTGTGCCACACCTGGGACTGAAATGGAAGGAGACAGTGGTGAGTAAGGAGGGAGTGACAGTTTCTTGGCCTTCAGCTCTTTCCCTAGACAGGACTTCCCCCCAGGCTCAAGGCCATGCTCCACTCTGAGGGCATTTGCATTTAAGGCTGATCCTGCTTCAGCCTCCAGAGCACACACTTGCATTCTTCATGCAGCTCCACAGGCCTCTTCCTCTGGCAACAACGTCTCAGAAGGAGGGGCTCCCTCATCCCAGAACATGAGAGGCATCCAGGCCTGCCCAGGCTGGAAATCATGAACAGGCTTCCTCCAAGTTAAGGGTCCACCTTTGTAGAACCACCCACACACTTTTATTTGGTATCAACAGGGGCGAATTGTCAGGGAGAATGTATTTTTCAAGTTCAAGTCAATGAACTCATGTGTCACTGATTTTTAATTATGTGCAGTTAAAACTCTTCCATTGTGCTTTTTTTAAAAAAAAAACTTTCATTTATAGCATGGTAATATGTGATCAGTATTTTTCCTGATTTTGTAACTAACACTTCTTTCTTCCTTGACTTTTTTTTTTCTTCCCTTCACTCTTTGGCCATGACATCACTGGTCCCCAAACTTTCCAGAAATCTGGGGGAATTACTGAACATATTATGTTTCAAACTTATAATAACCGATCAACCAATAAATCATAAAATCATTAAGTTTTCTCAAGGGAGCAGTCCCCTAAGTCTGTTCTCGTTTGTTTCCTCCGCTGTACCCCACCCAGCTGACTCCTACTCTTATTTCTTGGTCTCAGTGTAAATGTTTTCTCTCTCTTGCTTGATCTGTATACCAGTGGCTCCTCTTTAGGCATTACCCTTCCTATTATTAATTTCTTTAAGAGTATTCTATAGTTTTCATTCACATCCTATTTCTATAATATTTTCAGCATAAACTCGGGGCTTGTTTGATATAGAGAATCTCAAGCCCCACCCAAGATAAAAATCCACATTTTCACAGGACCCCCGGGGTATCCACATCCAAGCATTCACTGCTCTAGAGCCTGTAACTGAAGGAAAGAACATTCTATCACGGATGCCCTGTCTCAGCCCATCCCCCAGGCCGATTCACACCTAGGCTGGCTTCAGTGGTCCAGCCAGGCCCGACTCACCTCTGCCAGCCTCCCGGCCCACGCTGGGCTCATCACTAAAGGTAGATGCCACCCCAGTCCCTTCACACTCCTGCAGCCAGACCACACTGGTTTGTGTGTGTGGAGAAATGCCGGGGGGGGGGGAGGCGGACATGTGCCCACCCACAGGCGTCTCCAAAGCAGAGGATGGGTTACCAGCAAAACTCACTGCAGAGTGGACACCCAGACCAGAGACAGAGAGCAAGAATCTCTGGAGGGGCCTGGGCCAGGAGAGAGCCATCCCATAACTGGGACAAAGGCCCTGAGGACTGCCTCCTTCCTGCCCTCCCCAGCTCATGAGCCTGAGGGTGTCTAGTATCTCAGCCTTCCTGGAAAGACTGGTGGCTGCCCCCTGAAGCCCAGGGAAGGCTGGGGCTAGGTGGAGAGAGGGGTGCCAAAGGCCAAGGCGAGGAGAAAGGCCGTGAGGTGCCTAGGAAGGATCCAGGAAAGAGGGGCCAAATCAGTCACTCCACCATCTTGACTGGAGCCTGGGATCGAAGCCAGCAAACAGGCTGACAGGTGGCGGATGGTATACGCTGGGAGAGGGGGGCGATTGATCTGGGTGCCTCTGTGATAGCCTCCCTCTCCTAGGTGGAGGGGAAGAGACCAGTGCCCAGCTCTCATGTCCACAATGGAGACTGTGGATCATGTCCTGCTAGAAGCCTGGAGAGACAGGGGCAGACAAAAGGAGTGTGGTGGGGAAAGGCTGTGCTGGAGGACACAAGGGGGTTATCAGGTGAGTAGGGCTGGCTGGAGATCCTCCACACTGCCCTCTTCCCACGCTCAGGGAGCTGGAAAGGCTGGGAGGCCTGAGGTGGCAGTGACAGAATAGGGGGCATATGAGGGCCCATCACAAACTAATCTGCAAAGACTAGAGAAGTGCACAACCTGTTTAGACCTCTTTCCTCGCATTGCCATCATGCATGTTTGCCTCATGAAGCTCACCGCTCCCTCATCCCCCAAGACCAGGCTTCAGTCTCAGGGCCCTGAGGCTGGCAGGGTGCAGACAGAGCTCGACCTCCAGGCACTGCCCTGGCCATCCCTCTTTTTCTGAAGCTTGATTCATTTTTAACTCCTTCCAGAAAAATGCTGTCTTAAGGAAAATTCCAGAGCAACAAAAAGCTGGCAGTAGCAGTAAAAGCCACCTGTCATTACCCGAGACATGTACAAAAGGCGAGTGTGCCAACCTTATTTACAGAAATGATCCCCAGGCATATCAAACTGCAAACCCCTTAAGTGGTATCTGCTGGAACTTAAACATATTTTTTAAAAAGAAGGAATGACTTTCTGCTGTTTGTAAACTTGGAACAAACAACGTGACTTCAACAGCACTAAAGGATCCCAACTTCTCATGAATTTCTACTGCTCTCTTGAAAGGGAGGTAGAGGAAATTCTTCAAGGCCTGACCAGCATCCCATGTTGCAGACCCTTTCCTAAGGTGGTACCCTTGTCTGAGGGCAGTGGCTCAGTGTGGGGGTGAGAGACCCTCTGTCTGGCAGGAGAATAGCAGATAGGGCAGAACTCTAGTCTGACAGGGACAGCCTACTAGTCTCCATGACCCAGCCTGAGGGGGGCAGGTCAGGAGCTGGGTGGGTTCCAGGCTGCTCAGGAGGCCTAAAACTGATGGAATCAAAGATAGATTCCACAGGGGAATGTCCAGCTAAGAATGCCTAAAGCTGAAGATTCTGGCAGCTGGAGTCCAGAGAAGTCAAGCAGAAATAAGTACATTTTTATTGTGGTTGTTTTAAGTTCAAGTCATGGGCTCAAACACAGCAATGATTGTGAGGGAACACTTAATGGTTCTTTTTATAAGGTCAGCAATACCCTGATACCAAAGCCAGACAAAGATACCACTACAGACCTATATCCCTTTTGAATCTAGATGCAAACCACCTCAATGAAATACTAGTAAACTGAGTCCAATAGCATATTAAAAGTATTATACACCATGATGAAGTGGGATTTACCCAAGAATGGTTCAACATAAGAAAATTAAACAATGTAATACACCACATTAATGAAACAGAGGAAAAGAATCACATTATCATCTCAATCAACACACAGAACGCATCTGACAAAATCGAAGAACCTTTCATGATAAAAACACTCAACAAACTAGACATAGAAGGGAAATTCCTCAATATGCTAAAAGGCATTTATGCAAAACCCACAGCTAACACCACAGTCAATGGAGAAAGACTGAAATCATTCCCTGGTGGAAAAGTGGTTAAGAGATCGGCTGCTAACCAAAAGGTCAGCAGTTTGAATTCACCAGCCACTCCTTGGAAACCCTATGGGGCAGTTTTACTCTGTCCTATAGGGTCACTATGAGTTGGAATTGACTTGACGGCCATGGGTTTTTTTTTGGGGGGGAAGGACAGTACAGACCAGTATGTCCACTTTCAACACTACTATTCAATATTGTACTGGAAGTTTCGGCCAGAGCAATCAGGTAAGAAAAAGAAATAAAAGGTATCCAAATACGAAAGGAAGAAGTAAAACTATCTCTATTCATAGATGATATGATCCTATACATAGAAGATTCCAAAGAATCCACAAGTACTAGAGCTAATGAATTCAGCAAAGTTGTAGGATGTAGTTCAACACACATAAATCAGCTGCGGTTCTATAAACCAGCAATGAACAACTTAAAAAGGAAATTAAGAAAACCCTTCTATTTATAATAGCATCTAAAAAAAAAAAAAGTAGGAATACATTTAACCAGGGAGGTGAAAGACTTGTACAGGCAAAACAATGAAACATTACAGAAACAAATTTAAAAGACCTAAATAAATGGAAGTCACCACAGAAGAAAGGCCTGGCAATCTACTTCCAACTTTAAAAAATGGTGAAGGGACTTAAATAGATATTTCTCCAAAGATAACCAAATGACCGATAAGCACATGAAAATATGCTCAATGTCATCTAGTCACTAGGGAAATGCAAATCAAAACCACATGTAAATCACACCCACTGTGACGGCTATTATCAGAAAAATGCAAAAGAACAAGTGTTGGTGTGGATGTAAAGAAACTGGAGCCCTCACTAACTGTGGGCGAGAATGTAACATAGTACGACCACTGTGGAAAACAGTTTGGCAGTTCCTCAAAAAGTTAAACATTGAATTACCATATGACCCGGACATTCCACTCCTAGGTTGGCAGTTTGAATCCAACCAAAAGACTTGAAAGCAGGGATTCAAAAAGATACTTGTATACCAATTCTCACTGCAACATTATTCACAATAGCTAAAAGAAGAAACAACTCAATTGTCCATTAACATATGAATGGATAAAAAAAACCACAAACCATGAAATATTATTCATTCATAAAAGAGAAATTTTGTTCACCCTTCAGCATGGATGAACCTTGAAAACATTATGCTAACTGAAATCAGTGAGCTACAATAGGACAAATATTATATGATATAACTTACATGAAATAAGCAGAATGAGCAAAAGCATAGCGACCAAAGTTTATTAGTGGCTACCAGGGACTCAGGGAAGGAGGGAATTGGAAGTTACCGCTTAAGGGGTACTGTGTTTCTGTTTGGATGATGGAAATTTTTGGAGTTAGATGGTGGAGATGGGTGCACAACATTGTTAATGTATTTAATGCCATGGAATTGTGTACTTAAAACTAGTGAAAATGGCAAAATTTTAGTTATATATATTTTACCACAATAAATTTTTCTTTTAAAAGGAGCCACTGTCCTCTTTCTTCTAAATGCTTAGGGATCATTTTAAAGGTGCAGACCTATAGGCACTCTTCTATGAACTACTACATCAAAAGCATACAGGAGTAACCAGGACACTGGATGTCTGAAATGCTGGTCACAGGTTTTACGGACACTCAAGT